TTCGTAAATCGGTTGAAAATCGGTTAAAGATTTACACCAGTTCCGGTCTGTTCACAACTTTCGCAATAGTTATAAGTAATAATTGTTTAAAACAAGGGAAAAATCAATATTCAGAACTCCATCTGTTAGTTTCAGAGATCTACAATAATTGTAAATGGAATAATAAAAAAAAACCACAGTCTCAGATAACAACTAAAACCCTAAATCATAAAAATCATTATTAGATTTTCTTTATTCATATAGAGGGGCGACTTCCTTATAAATAGCTGCAGCAGGTAGCTTTATTTTAAATGGTGCAAAGCGATGACGTCATGTACACAAAAAAATGGGATATTAATTTCAGTCGTAACTGTTATTTAGTAAATAGAGGATATTTGTCGTTTTAGAGTGAATAACATATTTTATTTCATCGAGAAGCAAGAAAACTTATATTTTCACGAATGCGTAGAATGAGTGTGAAAATATAAACGTTTTCTTGCTTAGAAAGTTTAAGCACTAGTGTCGTCCTATGACTTCATAGTATTGAAGTTTCAAAAAAACGTTGGAGCCGTTTTAGAGTTATTAAATTTTGACTAAAAATCGCAAAAAATCGACCAAAATCAAAATCAGAATTTCAAAACAAAACCTATATCGTTGATATGGGATAGACACCGGCTATCCAAAAATGTAATCAGAATTGAAAAATTCCAAGAAATAAAACTTTTAGAACATTTTGAAAATTTACCAATTTTCATCAAAAAAATGAAAGCGAAAAAGTTTTTAAATTTGACGATTTTGAACTGCTATCTGCTCAGAAATGTCTCCAGCTATCCGAAAATGTAAATATCAGAAAAATCGGTTGAGAATTAACATAATTATGGCCGATTGAGGCATTTCCGCTATGCGCACAAATTTCGTTTTACATTATGGCCGATTTTCAATTTTTGTGCACGTTAAAGATTTGAGGCATTTCCGCTATGCGCACAAATTTCGTTTTACATTATGGCCGATTTTCAATTTTTGTGCACGTTAAAGATTTGAGGCATTTCCGCTATGCGCACAAATTTCGTTTTACATTTAAGCACTAACCACCACCCATTTTCCCGACAGAAAACCAAACTTCAAACCTCTATCTCTTATAGTTGCTGAAATCTAGCTTCCCCCAATAAAAAATATATAATAATAATAATATTAATCTTAGTAATAACAATAGTCTTTCACCGAAGGTGAAAGCCTAACGAGGAGAGTTTCGTACGTTGTAACAATGTCTGCACATGGTCAGACAGTCGTAGAGAAATGAAATAAATAAGTTTATTGCGTATTATTCGTTTTGAAATGTATCGGTGGGTTGGCCTTGAACTTGCATTCGCTTTCGTGACCTTACCTATCTATTTTACTAAATTAACCCGATTTTTCCCCAATATAAAAATACCCTTGCCTCCTATATAAAACTTCTCTGATTTACGCTGTGTTATTAACGAACGCCTTTATAAGAAATAATGGTAAATTCATGATATTAAAATTTCATTTCAAATAGGCCTATAAAATTTTTCAATAAACACATTTGAGATTATTGATTATCTTTTTTATAAATCATCATAACCCCAAAACCATATGAGTAAACACTTTGCATATGGCGTGTCTGTATTATAGGACTGTAGGCCTTCTAATACCAAGAAATTGGCAATTTTAAACAATTGTAGGCCTACAAAGATATTTTTGTGTAGATATTAGATATAAAGTGAGTTCTTGTCTATTAATTATTTGAAAAAGGTATAATTTATACTTGAATCATGGTAAAATATAAAATAGTAACAAAAAGTTTTGTTTACCGGGGGTTTGAGGGGGGTGGGGGTGTCTTGGGGGTTTTAATTTGGGGCGCCATCTAATTGCTTACATTGCCTTACAATAAAATAAACGGGTAGGCCGCAGCTACATTTCCCATGCAATGAAAAGAAATTGAATGAGAATTATTTTTGTGAATGATGGTGTGTCAAAATTACGTGACCCGGGCCATTGTCAATATTATCATTATTCCAACTATATCTATATGCCGCAATAGATCTAACAGTGTAGCTCTAATCAGTGTTTGTTAATGTCATGATTTTAAGTTAGGGTGACGGCTGTCCTAAGTTAATATTGATTTTAGTTAAAATTGTCCCTAAAACAGTTTTGTGAAACGCCACTATTTTAAGTTAAGATAAAATTTTAACTTAAAATATTATTTTAGTGGATTTTATCTAAAATGCTTAAACTCGTTTTGTGAAACGCATCTATCTTAAGTTAGGATGAAATTTTAGTTTAAGAAGATTTAAGTTTTTGTGAAACAGGGCCCTGTTTTGTTAGCCTACCGCAGAGTTGACGTAAAAACTTTACACGGGTGAAGAAAAAACAAACAAAACACATATTTGCCATAGTAAATGTAGCAGTAGTTAACGAGCTGGTATTTATTTTCAATTAACTAAATTCAAAGCCCATGTTAAGTATTTTTTGAGTTAGAAATAAATTTATGTATCTCGTGGTGAAATGAATATGTTTAATAGGTGGGATAAATTATTAAAATCTATTTTCTTGATTCCCTTAGACATTAGTTTTATAAAAGTTAGTAACTGCTAAAGTTGTGGTAACATTGGGTGATTTATTTCTGGGGTTTCAATTTAGCTATAATCTTCTTTACAGTCATTAAAAAAAGTAAATATCACCTAAATGAACATTCGTAAACATTAGGTGTGGAGGGGCTATGGGCAGTGTTGGATTAACGAAGGCAAATAAGGCACGTGCCTTATTGGGACCAGCCAAAAATGCAGGACACAAAAGAATAAAGTATAGATAAGTTGTAATTTAGCTACTGCAATCTTATAGTACTGTCAACAACGAAAAATTGTTTTATTTTTTTATTTTTTGTAATAAATTAGTGTTGTTAAAGATACATTAGTTAAGAGTTTAATAAAGAGTTGGTCATTCTTGCCATAATAATTCAAAAATAGATGATGAAAAAAGAAAATATTGGAAATTTCATTCAAATTACTTCATTCTCGGCAAATGGGGTTTAACGTCCTACTGTTCTGCTCCGAACTGGGCTAATGAAGACGGGTTTCCCCTTGTCAGTGATGCAGGATGGAGGGCCTGACAAGGACAGCTGTGCCGTATACACATTGACGTGCACGTAAAAGATCCCCTGGCAGTTGGAATTCGATATAAGAGTAGGTCGTAGTGCCGCTGCCCGGGCAAAATTTCCCTCATAGCACACTGTATGGCGTATGCCCGTCTTCATTAGCCCAGGTTAGGAGCAGAGCAGTAGGACGTTAAACCCCATTTCATTTCATTTTATTTCTTTTCATTTACAGATAATTAATTAAAACTAGGTAACGTGGACGTTACTATTTTTTTCTGACCTCGTGGCATTCTTATATACATGAATCCCGGGAAACTCTATTATTTTACGAAAATGGGGAGGGAAGGTGGGGGGGGGGGGGTACATTCGGCACGATTTTTTTCGTCGACAAAATTTTTGAATGTTTTGAACGGCTATTGTCATTTCTTGTCGGTCATCAGCAGAAACCCTTAATATAGATGACATTGTCCATCGATTACACTGGGGGGGGGGGGGGGGGGGGGGGGCAATGGTTAGCACGTGCGCGCTGCATCATAAAGCCTGTCATTGAGTCAACTGGCATGGTTTCGAATCCCCAGTTGTACGTGACAAAGAGTAGGGTCGCCTATCCAGCCTCGTGTGTTTTCTCCGGGTCCTCCGGTTTCCTACAACTGCTCAAGACCCCTACGCGCAAGCGAATTATTGAAATAAAATCAAACCATATTAGTCCCGAAATGACCTAGTCTGTGTCGAGTGGACGTTAAACCTCATTTCTCTCTCTCCATCGATTACGGGCCTGCTCCAAGTAGGTAAAGTTGATACAACCAGCAATGCATTTGCTCCAAGTCTAATATTTAAACTCATTTCTCTCTCTCCATCGATTACGGGCCTGCTCCAAGTAGGTAAAGTTGATACAACCAGCAATGCATTTGCTCCAAGTCTAATATTTAAAGAAGCTAAATCGCTAATATTTGGGACCCAGAAATTTACACAAATGGGCCACAACGCATATAATAATGTAATGTGAATGTATATAAACTGATTTACATTCAACCGTTTCTGTTTTTACTTTTATTTCTAATCAGTTATGCTCGGCGAAATACGTACGCCAGAAGTCTCAATTGAATGGCAATATTTTGCGTCTGGTTATTCCAGTCTACATCGATGATATTTATTGTGCGTGCTCTCCAGATAAGAATATAGTGTCACCTTTTGAAATGACTTGTGGAATATGTCTAGCCGCGTACTTTGAGTCCCTTGTTCCAAATGGCGCTGAAACGCATTATGACACGATTCGTAGGCCCCCTATACCGTAAAATGTTTATTTTGTCTTGAATATTGGATATCAGAAGCCCATCTTTCCCTGTAAGATCACAAGACCAATGTTGATTTGAATTGACAAATAATTCGTGTTTTCAATGTCGAAAATTTTTGATGATATTGAGTTAGAGACTTAGCTACTTTAAGGAGACATTATATCTCGTACACAAATTGTAAGTAGTTCGTCTTTATAGCAATTCTCTCTCTGTCTCTTTTCTCCCCTTATATATGCATGCCCATTTTTTGTTGATGTTTGGCCTAGAATGGACGAAGAGGGTTTGAATTAACATTTTTTGCCAGGTTTTTCGTTATCAGGTTGGCAACGGTGATATGTACAACTAAAACAAAATATATTTACATGTTTTTAGTATTTCATCAAGTTTGTGTATCTCAAAATTTTGGTGGTCAACCTGATACAAATTTTAGTGCAAATACATCATCATGGCCATTTGTTCCTTTGTCTGTAGTGAAAAGCATTCAGCCCATCGAAAATTTTGGGAAAATTTGGAGGTGGGCAAAGAGGCCAATATTAACTTTGTTCGAAGTCAATGGGGAAATTAATGGTGGTCTGCCTCCTTATAATATAGTAGAGTTATTCCCCCCTCACAATATGTCTGCGTCCATACAATAAGAAAGAATTTGAAATTTTAAATTTCTTGCTACTACTATTCAAATATTTTAGGAATGCCACATTATTTATATGGATATTTAGTGCAAATTATAGTATAATCATAGTTCGGTCCTACGTAAGAGATGTCATTGTATTTGACAAGACTTTCTTCATTAACTTTCCGTGGTGGTGTGCAAAGCAAACTTATTTATCATCAGTGTTGGATACCGGTAACCACTATCTGCTGTCAATCAAAATTTTGCAGTACCGGTACCAAACAAAAACCTGACTATTATATAACTACTCCTATTTTCTATGTCAATGCATGTAAGTAATTCACAGGTTTCTTATTTATTCATAAGTAGATGACTGAAGTTGACATTGACTGTGAACATGGTTACGGTAGAAAACTAACTCAGTAGGCTAATTGTAATTGTAAAGTGTACGACTGTATGTTATCGCCTGTTCAGATGCTTAAAGGAGCTAAATCGCTAATATTTGGGATTTAGAATTTGACACAATGGGACGCAACACATACAATAATGTAATATGAATGTATATAAACTGATTTACATTCAATCATTTCTGTTTTTACTGTAATTTCTAATCAGTTATGAACTTTTAAAAAAAAAACCATCGATCGTTAAACTAGTTTAACTTTGTCGTCTGAACGCAAAGCTGTGGCAAATAACCCCAGCTCGCGACCTGTCTTCGAGCACAGGAGTCTGACCTTCTATCCGTATAGGCCTATATGCATACACCATGTCCAACCAGACAATATATAATAAAAAAGAACAGGAATGCAGTGCCTGTTTAAGACTCGATTTTACCTGCTCTCGCTTCAGCTCGGTTTTATTCAACAATTTGTATTGTCAGGCAATCTAACCTCTGCTGATTCACTCAGATATGTTTTTTCTTCAATCTAATCCTTTTGATTTGCATAAAAATACTCCCACAAAACGGTATCATGGCTACTTGTTTCCAATATTTACATTATTTTCGTCCATTTCCACTCTGTCACAAACTCCATGCGCTGACGTCATACAAAATCAATCTGCAGTGACTAGACCATTGAAACAAGTGCCAAAGATATTTTTAGTTTTTTTCTCCCTTTCCATTTTCCCCCTTTTGCATGGCGATTTTTGTTGACTTTTGGGTGTAGAATCGAAGAAGAGGGTTTGCATATACATTTTCTGCCAGGTTTTGGTGAATATTCATCATTTTGAGGTGGAAGTATACAAGACTTCATAGGTTGGTTAGGTTTTTGTGTAACGTCAGCGCATATCTACCAAAAGTCTGCAGATGTTTGCAAGAACCATCCGTAGTTTACTCTAACTTCCGACCGAAGAGGTCAGAATAGTTAAACTGGTTTGGCTTATAGAATGTGTGAACGCAATACGATCCTATCTTAAAAAGTATTAAAAACTCTGGCAATTTTGAACTGGTTTAAAAATAAGGGTCTGAACGGGGTACAACTACAAGTCTCAAAATGACTTAGGTTTTTCTATTTTTCTTTCATGTTATCTAATCTAGTCACAGTCAATTTTGTTTATGAATTGTCAGATATCCTTTCACAGTCCCATACAACAACTTTTGGTCTTCGAAGGAATTATTAGTGAGCAGAAATTTGCCCATGTATCTGTTATCACCCGTCACTTCAGTCAGTTATATAAAGGGATAACTCGTGTTTTCCTTTTGCTTTCGTCACTTCCTATTGTTGAAACATTGATTACTCATCTATCGTAGCAATGATCTCTGTGATAAAATAATATTTGGAACGTGTTTAACCAGTTCTATCACATATGTGATAATGACTGGCACAATATTGTCCTTTAACTTTACAATATATCAATATCAGGGTTACCGGTAGGCCCTACTTACATTTTATTTGATTTTATTCATTTTATTTCATTTTTCCAGACTGTTACGATATAATCTGGCACCATTAAATGTATATGTAGCTATATTACTGGAAAGTAATTCATTTGTTTGCTTTCATTTCAGTGCCACATATTGGTCACCTTTATACAGTTCTCTTCGCCGATGTTCTATCACGATGGCATCAGTTAAAGGGAGATAATGTGCTATTTTCTACAGGGACTGATGAACATGGGTTGAAGGTTAATTTAAAATCTATAGAAAAATACATATAATAAATTAAAAAAAATAAACAAAACTATTTACAGTTAAACTATTTGAATTTTTTATAGGCCCACATTTTCTGGTGGACGTATATTGTCGTCGCCCCTGTCCGTCCATCCACAATTTTTGGGTGGACAATCTACAGGTTACAATTTTTATCCGATTTTGTAGAAACATGAAATATAGGTCTATCTCCCAAAGATCTCGGTACCTTTCGATATTGGCATGTATCGGACCATAACTTCATGGATTGTACGAAAACTCACGTTTTTAGTTTGTGTGCACTCTAGAGGTCGCAATTTTCATCTGATTTCGATGAAACCTGAAATGCATGTTTATAACCCAAAGATCTTGGTTCCTTTCGATATTCGTGCATATCAGACCGTAACATTCTGGATTATGGCCCCTGATTGTACAAAAATCGTGTTTTTAGCTTGTGGTCCTTCTAGAGATCATATTTAGTATCCAATTTAAAAAAAACATCCTGATGATGGTTCAGTTCAAATTGTCGTGAAAATCGGACCAAAACTGCCGGACAAAATGGCCACCCCTCATACGCAAATAATGTAAAAATGTGGTATATCAAGGTTGTGGCCACTCTAAAAGTCACAATTTTTATACGATTGTGATGAAACTTGAAATGTATGTTTATAATCCAACGATCGAACGTGGCTCCTTTTGATATTTGCACATTTCAGAAAATCTTTCTGGATTATGGCCCCTGATTGTACGAAAAATCGCTTTTGTTTTTAGCTTGTTCTCTATCCATATCTTACAAAATGTCGGTGTATCTTGTCTAGCAACCGCTGGTTTAAAAATTAGGCCATTATGAAGATTTTTCACAAATCATTAACACTAATTGTGATTCATAAGATGCAAATTAGACAGTCATAGATATTATTATTAATTGATTTCCAACAACATAATGTTAGAGTCATACTATAATTTTGTTTTTTAAATGTTTATCTACTCTTGAGTTGATATCATATCAGACGATCTTTTAATGGTTTGTTCTTGTAGATTCAACAAGCAGCTAACAAAACTGATGAACATCCAACAGAATTCTGTAATCTTGTTTCACAGACGTTTAGAGTAAGTTATGTACATTCAGATTTTATCACTAAATATACCAACACTTTAAATGTATATTTTTTATACGCCCACATTTTCATGTGGACGTATTATGCTGTCCCCCTTGTCAGTCCGTTCGTCCACAATTTGTTTGTGGACATTCTACAGATCACAATTTTTATTCGATTTTAACGAAACTTGAAATATAGGTTTAGGTTTATCTCCCAAAAATCTTGGTTCCTTTCGATATTGGCATATATCGACCATAACTTTATGGATTATGACCCCTGATTGTACGACAAATCATGTTTTTAGCTTGTGGACACTCTAGAGGTCACAATCTTCATCTGATTTTGATAAAACTTGAAAGGCATGTTTGTAACCCAAAATCTTGGTTCGTTTCAATATTCGTGCATATCAGATCGTACCTTCCTGAATTATGGCCCCTGATTGTACGAAAAATCATGTTTTTAGCTTGTGGTCCCTCTAGAGGTCACTATTATTATCTGATTTAAAAATAACGTGTGTATATATTACCATTTCAGCGTTGAGTTTGAATTTCGTGAAAATTGGACCAATACTACCGGACAAAATGACCGCCCTTCATACGCAAATAGTGTAAAATTATGGTATATCAAGGTTGTGGACCCTCTAAAGGTCACAATTTTGATCCGATTTTGATGAATCTTGAAAATTCATGTTTATAACCCAAAGATCTTGGTTCCTTTCTATGCCCAAATATCAAAAGGAACCACGATCTTTGGATAAATTTCAAGTTTCATCATAATCTGATAAAAATGATGAGTGTCCACATCCTTGGTATTACATACTTTTACACTATTTGCGTACAAGGAACAGCCATTTTGTCTAGCAGTTTTGGTCAGATTTTTACAAAATTCGAACTGAACCTTCACTGATGTATAACGGTAATATACATCATGATCGTAACTTCCTGAATTATATCCCTTGATTGTACAAAATTTAGAGGTCATAATTTTTATCCAATTTAAATAAAAATGTGTGAATATATCACTGTTACACACTAAGATCTTTCGATAATCGCGCATATCCGAACGTAACTTCCTGGATTATGGCCCCTGATTGTTCGAAAAATTGCATTTTTAGCTTGCAGATTCTCTAGAGGTCACAATTTTTTTCCGATTTTAAAAACTGTTTAAATATATCACCATTCTTAGTTTTTCTACCATAATGAAGGTTGAAATTGAATTTTGGCAAAATTGAAGTGAAACTGTCCAACAAAATTGCCGCTCTTTGTATGCAAATTGTGTAAAAGTATTTAATACGAAGGTTGTGGACCCTCTAGAGGTCACAATTTTTATCTGATCTCGGGTCCTTTTGATGTTCATATCAGACCATATCTTCCTGGATTATGGCCCCTGATTGTACAAAAAGTCACATTATTTTTGGAGCTTGTTCTCTCTGTCCATCTCTTGCAAAATTTGGGCCTAGGCCTACATGTATCTCGCATGGCAACCGCTTGTTTTAAATCGGATGAAAATTGTGACCTCTAGAGGGACCACAATGTGATTGTATGAAAAATCACGTTTTTAGATTGTGGACCCACTAGAGGTCACAATTTTTATTTGATTTTAAAAAATGTTTAAATGTATCACCTTTACAACCTAATGACAGTCGAATTCGAATTTCGTGAAAATTGAACCGAAACTGCCCAACAAAATGGCCGCTCCTAGTACGCAAATTGTGTACAAGTATGTAAATACAAAGGCTGTGGACCCTCTAGAGGTCACAATTTTTGTCTGATTTTGATGAAACTTAAAATATATCTTTATATCTCAAAGATCTCAGTCTCTTACGATATTTTTGCATTTCAGACCATAACTTCTTTGATTGTGCCCCCTGATTGTACGAAAAATCATGTTTTTGTTTTTATTAGCTTGTTGTCTATCTATCCCTTTTCCCAATTTTGGCATATCTTGCCAGGCAGCCACTGGTTTAACTTTTGACCATATCCAATTATAAGCAAACCACTTGTCACAAAGGAGAATACAATTCGTAAAATTTCAGACAATATCTAAATTTTCACTGCTTAATCCACACTATTTAAAATTTAATGAAGAAAACAAAACCAAATTAGCAATGGTAGATAATCTCCCAGCTTGGATAGTTGACACTGGCTTGTTTATATCATTTGCAGAGGATGTCGATTTTGTTGAAATGTTTAAGACAAATTAATTATCATGTAATCTCACTCAAGAATATGATGATATTACTATTGTTACATGATATTTTTTTAAACTGTAGGATTTGTTTAAAGAGGCAAATGTTAATCACACAGATTTTATCAGAACAACAGAAAAAAGACATATTACAGCTGTTCAACATTTCTGGGTATGGTATACTTATATGTCATTCATTCAATTTGAAGAACACCCAACACTGTAACCTGGGTATCATTACTTGTGTATCTAGCACTAATTACTTTCATATTCGATTAATATCAAATCTTTGTTTAAAATTTTTTAAAATTCATTTAAAATCACCCAAAATCATCTAATTTGTACTTGTGTCCAGTTTAAAGCTGACTGATTAATTTTGATAATGTGTGTCCAAGTATTTAATTTCCTAACCACTGTTTAAAAATTAATTGGGTTGTTTATTTTTTAACAGTGATCAAGAAATTACTCACTTGTGATTTGAACATTCATTATCAAAACTGAATGGTCAGTTTTAAACTGGACACATGTACAAATTAGATGATTATTGGAGATTTTAAATGATTTTTACAAATTTTTAAACAGAGATTTTATATTGAATGAATGTGAAAGAAATTGGGGCTAAATACGCCAGATTAAATGCTACCAGGGTTACAGTGCCACCCTCCACCTAATGTAATGGATTAAAAACTGGAAAAGCTTTTTATGTATAGCTGTGATCTGACACTGGTGGACATGGCTATGCGTAGATAATAACACTCTTATAGCTCAATGTATAAGAACATACTATCTCATATTATAAAAGAGGGGGGGGGGGTGGATGGCCGAATGGTTAGTATGTGTGCACTGTATCATAAGGCCTGTCACTGAGTCAACTAGCGTGGTTTCGAATCCCCGGTTGTACGTGACGAGGAGTAGGGTCACCTGTCCAACCTCGTGGGTTTTCTCCAGGTTCTCCGGTTTCCTTCCACTGCTAAAGACCCCTATGCGCAAGCAAATTATTGAAATAAAATTAAACCATATGTTAGTCCCAAAATGACATAATTTGTGTCGAGTGGACGTTAAACCCCAATTTCTCTCATATTCTAAAAGAAATAGACAGAAAGACTATGGGAGAAACTATATTGAGGTGATAATTAAAAGAGATAGTCCAGCTATTTCTTTATGTTGTTTTTGTAACTGTGAGCAACCAGTTGCAAGTGTGCTTATGTTGATCAAATCAGCAATTGAATTTGGAGTGCTTATGTCAACTCAGAACTGGTAGCGATTACAAGACTGTTAATTTACTTATCATGTGATCAACAAAATGGGATATACCTTATAAAAAGCACCCCAAAGGCATGGTCGGTCTTGCAACAATTCTATTGTTGTCGACATCATCGACATTTGAAAAGTGGATGCATCGTTCACTTCCATTTTGCCTATTTACAAAGTCACATGACACATGTTTCTTATCACCTGATGTTATTTCCAAGAAAACGAGTTCACACCAGTTGGAAGAGTGCTCATATCGACGGCAGCTTGTTGCCACTAGTTGAAGTGAGTTGCAGACGGGTAAACATGGGAACTGGCTTCAGCTGACTGGAACTAGGCGCTCATTTCGACCTTTTTTCAGTTGCTTTTAGTTGAAACCTTTTGCTCCCAGTTGCCAAAACGCCAGTGGCTCTCAGTTGTAAGGTTGACCCACTTAACAAAATGATTATGAGGGCTCTTCATTTAACAACCATATATTTCTTTATTTTTTCAGAATGATAATGATGGCTCTTTATTTAACATCCATGTATTTCTTTATTCTAACAGAATAATAATTCCAGCTCTTTATTTAACTACTATCTATTTCTTTATTCTAACAGAATAATAATTACAGCTCTTTATTTAACTACTATCTATTTCTTTATTCTAACAGAATGGTAATCACAGCTCTTTATTTAACTACTATCTATTTCTTTATTCTAACAGAATGGTAATCACAGCTCTTTATTTAACTACTATCTATTTCTTTATTCTAACAGAATGATAATCACAGCTCTTTATTTAATTAGTTGTACCCTAGATTTTGTGTGAGTTGATATGCTGTCTTCATCTTTTTTTTCAGATGGTTTTAGAAAGTAAAGGTTATATATATAAAGGAGTTTATGAAGGATGGTATTCCGTATCTGATGAAGCTTTCCTATCGGATTCAGATGTAAAAGATGGCATGATTGACGGTAAAACTTGTAAGGTATTGTCAGATATCTTCTTATTAATTTCATTATGAAATATTTTCTTAAACATACATTGTGCAAGAACTAAATCTGATTATTGCAAGTCTTTATTTAGGCTTCAAATGTCATAGAAATTATAAATTAGATCTTTATTTACACAACAAGCACAAAATCAACTCTGTAGACCCACGGATGTCTTGGATTCAACTTGGATTTAAACAGGATTTCATTGATTGATTAAATTTTTAAATGGCGTCGTAAGCGGAGATTAACCGTTACGTTGACGTCATACTTCCGGAAATTTTAGATCGAGGCTAAATGGTAGAGTGTACGAAACGAGGCCGCTGTTGAGCGAGTCCGCATGTCAGTCAATTTGATTGAAAGTTCGATATATACATCCTTGATATTATGTTTAGTTGGTATATGGTATATCCGGAGATGCACTGAAGTGGTTTGAGTCCTATCTGAGTGGAAGACAGCAGAGTATTGTTATTGACGCATGTCAATCAATGCCTAAAGTTCTTGACTTTGGTGTTCCCCAGGGATCCTTATTGGGACCGATTTTGTTCACAGCATACACTGCACCAATTGGAGATATCATCCGTGAGATGGGTCTTAATTACCACCTCTATGCGGATGATACCCAGTTATATGTTGAACTTGATCCTTCACCAGAAACCACTACATCAGAACTGGAAGCATGCATTGAACGAATTAGAATGTGGATGCACTGCAATTTTTTTAAATTGAACGATGACAATCGGGAATAAAAAGAACATTGACATCAACCATGTAACTATTGGAAGCACAGCAATAACCCCATCCAAATGTGTCAGAAATCTTGGTGTGTTCTTTGACTCATCCTTAGATATGAAAACCCATGTATCAAGACTGTGCAAAAAGGCGAACTTTCACCTGTATGACATTGGCAAAATTCGATCCTATATTGACCTTGATGCCACTAAAATGTTAATAAATGCTTTTGTTATGTCATCTTTAGATTATTGTAATTCATTATTGTATTCTCTTCCTAAAACTCTTGTAAGTCTGCTACAAAAAATCCAGAATAAAGCAGCTCGAATGGTATCTCTCACCAAACCATCTGATCATATTACATCTGTTCTAAAACTGTTACATTGGCTACTGGTTAATCAACGCATCATTTTCAAAATTAACACAATCACTTTCAACTGTTTAAACGATCCTTTGGCACCATCCTATTTATCCGATTTGATTAAACAATATGTACCTTCTCGTTCCTTACGTTCATCTCATAAAAACCAACTTGTATGCCCAGTACAGAAGTCAAAATTTGGTGAGAGAGCTTTTGCGTACGCAGCACCAAAAGAGTGGAACAAATTGCCTCTGGAAGTCCAAAATAGTCCAAACTTAGCTATATTTAAACGACGTTTAAAAACCCTGTTTTTTACCCAAATTTTTAAACAATAATTTAAATGCTTCACTTTCCATTTGTATATTGTAACTATTCCTTTGTATTCTTTTGTTTATTTGTATGCTTGTTTTGTTTTTTATAATCATATCTACATTGTAAAGCGCCACAGAGCAGTCAGACTGACTGAATGTTCAGCGCTATAGAAAACGATTATTATTATTATTATTATTATTATTAGTTGTGGTTAAAATGAGAGTTTGGATGTCGGTATTATATGCTCTTTTGTCACTTGCGTTTACAGAAAAATTATTGAAATTGTTAAACATCGCAGCTAAGATCACCACAGTTGAATTGCAGCCCCATTGGATCAAGCAGTCTGTGTCACTACAGACCCGGGACTGTACAGTGCAGTGGACGCTTATGGCAAACCCCCAAGATCCATTCACTTTTTTTAAATTGTCTGTTTGTTTGTGTTTTCCTGAGTATGATGTCTTGTACGTGTATTTGTTTTTGTGTAAATTTTGTGTGGTGTAGTCCCCCTGCACTTATTACTATTGTATTTGTCTCAGGGGCGTAAAAAAAATTTTGAATCCACTAGCCCAGGGCTAGTAGTCTACTGTCAGGCACTAGCCCAGCATTAATATCCACTAGTCCATAGTTTGACAAGGTACAAGATTTAATCTTCAATATTTAGTCATATGTTTTGTTGCCTGCCAACCTATTGTTTTTAATAAAGATCATAGACTTGATTGCCTAATAATTTAGGATGGATACGCTACTCGGTTAACCGGTCACGGTTCGGTTGCACTGGTGAAACGGTTAAAAAAACTACAATCCGATATTCGTTTTCATATCATATCAGACCTTCAAAACCAGGAATGGTAGCCACAACAATGTTTTCTTTCACTAAAGACCATATAAACACTTCATATAGCACATGTCATTTATAATATATCACGGTAAATTAAGTATTGTTTAATGGTCGAGAGCGAGACATTAAGTAATATATTGTAACAACATGAGGGCCGTGAGGCCCGAATGTTTTTACAATATATTACGCAATGTCTTAAGCTCGAGACCATTAAACAACTTAAAATACAGACACTTGCACGTGCTTTGCAATGAAATACGTCACTCGAGTTCAATATTTTACAAAGTTACGCTTGGCACATTGCCCGTACGATTATTTGAAATAATGGTACTCCAACATCAAAGGATGACGTCACATCTGTATTTTAACGTCCTTTAATTCCCACTCGAAGATTTTATATATAATGTTATTATTAGCACTTACTGCAAAGCATGAGATAGCCTCGACTGATTGACAAATTAATTGTTTTACCGTATTTATTTACCTGGTCACTCTATAAAGAGTCTCAAGAGTTTGATGTGCTGATATGATATTAAAATAGACAGGATAGTAAAATTGTTTATATTATCACTCGAGTGCCATGCTGCGTGCCGATAGGGTCAAAGTTGACGACACACGGGTCACTGGAACCATTCATCATGGCGTGTGTGTAATGAACACGTGTAGTAAATTCTATGGAAATACCTGACATGTTAAATAATCAAAATTATCTTGTATTTAAAAATACAAAGGTATGCTTTCAAATATTTATGTCAGAACTAATCTAATATAAAGTATAAGTGAGTCTTTTGTTTTTAAATCAACCTGATTTCAACTGGTTTACACGTGACCTGTCAAAGCGTGCAAGATGGAGAAATGAAATGTCAAGAATGAATGAATAGAAGGGGTACTACAGAAAATCTCTTCTTTGAGCGGCATTTAGCAATTGACATACGTAATACAAAAAACATAATATGGAACACAATTATTATTTTACAGTTATATGGGACAACAATCACTGGTTTATTATACACAAGCACGACGTTTCGATAAGTATTCTCTTATCGTTATCAAGCACAATGACATTTAGTTAGTTAGTTAGTGTTAGTTGTATTTTACGTCCGCTTCCACCGAGGTGATATCGCAGGTGATGCTGCTCATGTGATAAGACCTATATCGGGGAAACCAAAAGACCAGTGGATAAAAGAATTTCAGAACACAAGTCCAAAGCCCCAACCAACATATCAGCCATAGCCGAACACTTGAAAGACCATCCAAGACACAAAATAGACTGGGATAAGGTAAAAATTCTGGCTGCTAACCAAAACAATAAGAAAATTAGGAAGTTAAAAGAAGCCATTAACATCAAAAGATTTTCTCCAGAATTAAACAAAGATTTGGGACTATTTATTCCGAGGGCATATGATGAAGTTATCAAATCAGTCAATTACCCTACAATGGGTAACCATTAACTCTCAATAATTATTTTTGAACTTACAACACGTTAATCGCACATCACTATGTTAACCTAGTCCAATCAGTTTTAGCCCAATATCAACCTACAACGCCTTAGCTCGCGATTTCTGTGTTATCCTAGTGCTATTATGCTGTGTTTTAATAACCTTTTAAGTTATTGTGATATTATGCTGAATTACTTTTCAGTCAAGATCCGGTGTTATAAGCCCTTATCAGTTACATACAAGTGGTCTAATGGATTTTTCTCCCCCCCCCCCCCCCAGTTATCACTTTTAATTATGTATATTTTTGATTCCCCCCCCCCCCCCCAGTTATTAAATTTTAATAACATATATTCTCTGAACTTTAACACCTTGAATTGTGATTACTATGTTTACTTAGTATATTATAATAAGCCTATATTAGATCCTTCAAACCCTTGGATCAGTTTATTGTGTTATCTTAGTGCTATTATGCTTTGTTTTCATAACATTTTGTGAATGTGGTTTTATTTACAAGACCGTGTGTTTATAAGCTCTATCTGTTATATACTGTTTGTTTAATGTATGGTTTCCCCCTAATCATTTTTCTTTTTCAATATCAGGGTGGTTTTAAGGTTCATGTACAACTATATCCTTGTCATCACACGGTGCTTTTCAGGTCTTTGATGTTAAATATGTCTGTTAATTGGTTGAACTCTTCTAATGATTAGTAATAAGAATGGTTTCGCATTGTACATATATATAGACCCTCAAGTTTACTAAATGTCATTGTGCTTGATAACGATAAGAGAATACTTATCGAAACGTCGTGCTTGTGTATAATAAACCAGTGATTGTTGTCCCATATAACTGTATAGTTTTGTTATGTTTCCAATTGCTAAATGCCACTAAAGGATTACAATTATTATTTTATTTAAAGCGACATTTTGTTGAGGGTTCTCTCAACGTTTTCAAGCAAATGATAATGAAAATAATGTACAGAGGGTTTATATACAAAAACAAGTAACAACTAATTAATCTAATCAATAGAGAAACCATTTAACATATTAAATCAATAGGGAAACCATTTATTATATACTATTCAAAAAAAGTAGGGGATATTTGATTTTTAAGTGTTATTAAAGTCACCTAATGAAACTGACGAAGAAACAAATGACAAAATGAAATGAAGTTCACATTCATCGATTTATTCCAAATGATCGTTAGACTAAGTAAGGCACAGACTGACCATTATAAGGGTAAAATGATACCCGGAGTCAAACAGCAAAGTTACCACAGCATCACAACCAAGTCAGTAACGGGTAAATCCTCCTCTGT